CTGAGCTCATAAGACTATATTGCGCGAGCCAACTGGATGACCCTGCGCATGCATCCACGAGCCGTGTTTCGGCCCTGTGGCAAAATGATTCCAACAAAACTAGCATGGGTCTGCAAGAGCTGTACATGCTGTGTTTCAAAGGATCTATGCATTCGTGGCTATATGCGTCATGTCTTCAAAGGTCACTGCCAGTACAAATTGAGCCACTGAAGATCACTGAAGTGTGTGTATTGTTCATTCTCAGCTCGCCCGAATGAGAAAAAACATTGTCGTTTGACAACCTGAGATGGTCACATCGCGTTTAGCTTTCAGGCCACGCCTGATTGGACCAAGGCCTGAATCATGCGTCAGCAAAAACAGAAGCGCACGCACATGGATACGAGATGTGTGTGTGTGCGTTTGTGAAATACCTTTTGGTTGAAAAGAACTCTGCGCGACTGACATGTTTCTTGTTTCAATATTCACTTGAAAAACGTATTGACTGGCCAAGTCTTCATGATGACAGGACTGTTGTTTCAAAACACGTCTGAAAGGTGTTTGCTCCAAATTGCGCGCGCAAAAGCTCTTTTGTGTCAAGGCTTCCACATGACATGTGTGTGCTGTGTGGCAGTCTGTCTACATTCACAAGCTTCCCAAAGCACACGCACATGAGCCGTGCCGAACAGGCCTGTTTGGCCATACAGGCTTCACTCCACATCCTCCGGCGCTTCATCGATCAACTGCAAGGCTCGCTGCCACTCAGCGCCGCAATTCTCTTCCTCCAGGATCTTCACTTTCTTGTCACAGCGATCACCGGTGTTCAAAAAGACCCTGAAAGCCCCGAGTTCATGGGTCATTGCAGTAATCCCTGGTCCTAGAGGTCTTTGCCCCGCTGCCATCTCGCAGTGAGCTTAATGGGGTCTTTCCTACAGCATGAGGAGACTTGCTCCAACCACCACCAATGCGCATCCTCAGCTTGGCTGAAGTGGGCAATACCGCAGACCACCTGCTGCAAATGGCAACTATGCCGCTCGAACACAAAACCACGGCACTGGAGATTCCCTGCTCGTGTCCGTTTTCCTACCAATTCGATGGTGCAGAAACTCTCCAGCAAAGCCTGTTCTCGTTTTTTTTTCGCGCTTGATACGGGTGATACCCCAAGATGTTGTCCGTCAGCCACTGTTTTGGGCATGAAGCTGTGCAAGGCAGCCCGCACCGATCGTGTCCACATTATTTGCCATCACCAAGCTTCTTGCCTCGCTGGCGCTGGACGAAGAACAAGCCAACCTCTTTGAAAGGGCAGTACTTGGAGGGTCAGCCTGCTTACTATGTAGATACTTCATATACTAAGTAGATAATGCATTTACTAAGTAGATAGCAGACTTCGGCTATGTCTACTTAAGACACTTGCTTGGAACCACTTAACCCACTTGGCTAAGTGCAGTTACATCACTTAAATAAGTCCAGTTATCCCACTTAGGATGGATGTGGTTATATCTGCTAAGTGTGGCTTGAGTAACTTAGCTAAGTGGCCTAACTGCCACAAGTGATCTCATTTTTTGGCTAATGGACTTGGAATTCTGGATGTGTCCAAGGCCTCATGTGAGGCACGCACATGTTTCGAAAACGTATTGGGAACACGTCCAGCGCCAGAAAAAACAAAGTGCGCTTTTCAAAAGAGAGATTGGAAACAGAAGTTTTGCCAAAAGCGAGTCCGCGCTTGCCTTCGACATCTGTGCTTCTGCAGAATCTGTGGTCTTCGTCTGCAGACTTTTTGATGCGGTTTCATGGAATCTTTCGCGTAATTTCGCTGACATCGCTTGAGATCGTTGCGTTTCTTGAGATTTTGACATTCCTATAGAGCATTTTTTGGTACACCAAATTGTTTTTATTGCTGGATGAGTTAAAGTTTTTTCGGTTTGTTTATTCCACAGACTGTTTGTCATATGTATCTGCGCCTTGTATCTCACAGCCCTGCCATACGTGAAACTTTGTTTTTTTAAACTCATACCTTCAGGTTGGCATACGTTCCTTAAAAAAATATGTTTTGCAATGTTGGTATATGCATAGCCCCCTGAAATGTATATGCGGTATACAACCTTGGCCAAAAATGAAAGAAGGAGTCGGCAATTGGTAACAGGCAACGCGCGATGCGCGCATAAAACCAAATAAATCCATCAACCCTCACCTGCCAGCTGGAGATGTACGCTCTATTTGTCAAAGGTCATGGCAGTCAATGGTATTTAGATGGTCACCAAACCTGCATCACATCCGAAAACCAGCCGCTGCCCAAAAGACATCCAACATCTAAGCTGAGAAATAGGAGACGCTGATTACACCAGTATACTCCCAGGATAGTGTTTGGGGGCTGTGTTTTGAGAAGGTAACTACGGCACTGACAATCCCTTGCATGCACTTTTGACTGAAGGCTTGCATCATGGTCTTGTGCCTGTGATGGATCACGCATGCAATCCACGCAGCCTTGCGACATCCACCTTTCTTTGGAGTAAGCAAAAACATGTGGTAGCCAAAACATGTGGTATAATCTATGTTATTGAAATCGGTGCCGAGATCACGAAACAAAGGAACCAATTACAGATTGTTCTGTTGATTTTTGCGAATTACATGGCTTAGCGCGCTGCTTCTGTACAACGGCTCCGCTGGCTAGAGTGGCCATATGACATAGGACGAGAAGTGTGCAGGCACCGGTGTTCTTTTCATGCGAAAGTCATTCTACATACGTATAGCAATGTCCAAATAGAAAGATATGTATTCTTCTAAGCGAAAGTATAACCTTCACAGTATGTCCCAATGATGGAGTGTTAAGTTTTTGGGAACTAACAAACCATCAACATGAACACATAGATGTAGCCACTTCTTTGTCACGCCATCCCCAGAAACTCTTGTATCATCATCAGCTTTTTGGGTCGTGGGGCTTCCACATTTTTGTTGAGGTGCGATATATTGTGAACAAACCACCACAGTTTGTGGGTCATTTTACATCACGCCAAAGTATAGGGGTACATACAAGAATAAACCCTGATTGGGGCGGTATATTATCGCGTGTTCCACATTTTATTGGGATGAACGTTTAGATATGGCTCATTCGTGAGCCCACCGAAACCCACATGCTAGATCTGGGGAACAGCGCCGTGGAACAGACAGTTCCATCAACAGCACCCTCATCCGCTCTCAGATCATGAAGAGGCCTGGGCATGCGGATGTGTGCGCCAAATGATGGCACTTTCGAAGATGTAAAAGCCTCATTGCAAAAATTCATTATCATGGCCTGTATATAGTTTGCAGCAATCCCAGCAACTGGATGTACGGTATTGCAACCACCACTTCATGGAATGAACACATTGGCAAGGCCTGCGTTTTTTTGATTGTTCTGCAAGATCAAAAAATCCAAGTTGGCATGAACATGCACTTTTACATGTTCAACTTGAAAGGGCTTTTGCGCAATCGCTACATGGAGAGAAAATGATTCAGAACCATTGATGTTTTGGAAGGTCATGGTTTTGCAGCTACTGCTCCTCCCGGCCTTTGCTCGTTCTCCATGGAGCTGCAGCTGGAAACCTATGGCGTCAATGGCAACAAAACAGATGACGGCGAAACCAATTCTGGTGCCCTTATATAGAGCCTTGGAACACTATACCAAAACATACAAAAATTGTCTTGAAACACTAGAAGCGAATTTCAAGCCATTGACCTACTAAGGATGTCCCCATCGAGAACAAAGCAAATTTGAAAACCAACGTGTTTTCCAGACCTTCGTGACACTGCAGGTTTCGAAGAAACATGTTCATGCTGAGAAGATTTGAACAGGTTCCACACACGTCGTCGAAGTATATTCGAACCAAGCCTTGACCGCAAAGCATGCTGAGCACGACCTTGACGATCACGGCGAAGCACCTGCATGCGGGCTTGGCTCGCTGTGGCACCATGCGTGGCAATGCTCGCTGGCGATGCATTTGTTGCACACAACGCTGCCTTCGAAACATCATTTACCATGGGTTTACAAACGACGAAAAGGTGAATGCCGATTTGGGGTTGTGATTGATTCATTGATTGGCACCATTCATCAAGCACTTCAGCCTGCTATTGTTTTTCACCACACGCTTTGCTTTGGTTCCTATATTCTCAAGTCATCAAGATTCAAAAACAGCATGACCATCATTGTCATGGGGTATGACTAATCAGGCAGAACCAAAGTTGATTCGAAATGCTCCTGCTGATCATTCGGCAACGCCGCTGCAACACTGGGCCCATGGGCATCAGCATGTGTGAGGGGCCTTGCACTTCCATCATATGTGAATGCACTTGCGCTTCCCAAGGATAGCGTGGGGGTGCCACTTGGTTTCCTGGTCTGAAACACCTGCTTGAGCCGTTTGTGCTCCCTCTCCTCAGCATCATCCAGCTCATCACGATCGCGGCGTTTGCCAATCTGATCATCACTCAATCCAAGCGCTTGGTTCAAGGCAACCAAACTTTTCTCTAACTTCTGCAGTTGGGTTTGTGCCACCGCAACCTCAGCCTTCACCTCAATGACCAACGCGAGGACATCAGTGATGAGATCCCGAACACTGTCGATAGGAAGCGCTGCCGCTGTTGGTGAGGACATCGCCATGGAAATCGAAACAAATGATACACGTGTTGCTGTTTAGGGACAACAGCCAGCCAAACTTCCAAAACGCAGATCCAATCAATTTCCGAACAACTAAGAAGTATCAAACAACGAATTAAAATGCATATCATAAGCATGATGATGAACATCGTTGATCAATCCTGGGTGTGGGCGCTCCAAAACTAATTCCTTGCGGCAACACATGTCTTGCGCACTGCTCCGCCTGCATGTCTTTTCAACAAAAAAGGAAACATCATCTTGGCTCAGGAACCTACTTTGGTTGAACTGAACCTTCATAGGGAGCTTTGCATGCCCAACCAGCATGGCTCTCAAGCTGGCGCAACCAACTACATCCAACTACATGAAAAGTATGAATCAGAAACGATTGATCCGATTACTGACCTTTGGTCATATCGGACTTGTAGAAACTTTGTGGCGCAACTAGGATTTGTTCATCATCTAGCTGCTTGTACGCAAGAGACCCCTCAATGAGATCAGTGCTGACGAAATGTAATCCAGCATCAGGAGACATTCTGAACGTGTTCACACCACACTTTTCGAAGAACTGGACCAAAGTGAAAACACTCTCTCCGTATCGTACATGAAATTTCACCTTTGCCAAGGATGACGGCTGGCTAATGCACACAACGTCGTCAATGTGACAACGACTTGCTGTGGGCGAAACCATCAAGGTATCTGACAAGAATGAAACACCAGTGTGATGCATCCATGCGTTCACCATAGATGGTGGTGCCAGCTTCCATTCTGAATGATGGGTATGCTCCTTCAGGTCATGAATGTGCGAGAGGACCGCTTCCCTGAGAACGCTCCGCTCCATAGACTTGTGACCGCTGTGCTGCTGGTTGGCGTACCTGATGTTGGATTTAGAAACGTGATACCGTTTAACTGTCTGCGTATTCCCAGGGGTGTATACATATAAACAGAATTTGGTCATTGGAAGAAACACACAAATGGTGAACAAAACCAACAGTGAACCAAGTCCATAATAAACCTGCAATGGTAAAGGCACCTTTTGAGAAGCTTATGTCGCCGTTCGTGAACAAAGCAGGTCGGCAGCTGAGAGAAACGCTCCAGCTGCAACGGCAAGTGCACGCTGTAGTGGTGTTTGGGTAAGTATGAGTCAACTCCGTAAGAAGCCTCACACACAACATCTAAATGCGATGATGGTAACTCAGCTCGTGTATAGGACCATGTATTGCACATGAAAAACAACCCGCACATTGAACTTGAAAACAAACTCTTATACAATTCACTTTTGAACTTGCAACAAGGAACTTTGAAAGCAACCAAATGCGCTTCAATCTTCTCACGCAGCAACAGTGGTGTAATGGAACCGGTCGCAGCATGCTTCAAGGAGTCTAGGACATCGCAGAGACGATAAAAGGAATCAATGCCCATTTTCAAGTCATGGCCCATTGTCTCCCTGTTGATGGTTTGGAACCTCGCACGCAGCAATGGATATACTGCTAGCACCTCTGACGCCGTAGCCTTGAAGTCACCTTCGAACTTCTTCCTAAATACATCTTTCGCTGTGGCACCAGAACTGCGATGAATGTGCGGAAATGTGAACGAAGTACACCAACTATGTAAATCAGCTTCTTTCACTCTCTGCGCAGACAGCAATGGCAACAACAATGTCATCTCTCTTTGAAAAACGCCTGCCACTAGATACACATGCATGGGATCGAAACATGTCATGCTAATCGGCTTCCACTTCTCACGCATGCTTCTGTCAAGAAGAACACCACCTGGGACATAGTTGAAGCCAAGACGAACTTCTAATTCTGAGAAAGCCTTTTTCGTTCCAATGCCAAACCGTGAGTCGAGGTGATCTACGATCTGCCACACGGAGGTATCACTGTGGAGACAAAGCTTTGAAAGATCATGCTCATGATGAGGGACCAAGTTCCCCAAATTCGCAGGAGCGTACCGTGCCTGAATTGTTGTTTGACAGAAAAGGCACAGCATTTTTCCTGAAGCACCCTTGTTTTCCTGTGATAGTTTTATTGCTGACTCGTCGGCGAGATACATACCAATGCGAAAGCACAGCATTTCTGTGCCATGAAGTAATCGCAAAGAAATTCTGGTCTCCAAGTTGCCGTTGGGGAGTGAGAAAAGTTTCACGCATTGAAGAAACAGGTGTGACAACCCACCCTTCATTTGTGTAACAGTCTCAGATCGAACAACAGTCAATACGAACCAACAGTCTTCTTGGCTGAGCTCATATCCTCCGAATTGCATCACAGAGAAGTAAATTGCCCAGAGCTTACGTTTGTTGTTAATTTTCAACTGGTTGCCAGGTGACACTTCGTCAAAATAAAGTGCCAGTGTCCACGGGTGAGCCAAGCTGTTTGAATGACTCTCCGCGACCTTTGTCAGAAGATGCTGCACTCGACTGCTCACGTTGGACACATGGTGAAGAATGGCTGCAGGATGGCAAAAGGGCAACTCCAACTTTGACCCATCTGTCATTTCTGCTTGAAATGACTGAATCAAACTACCGTATGGAGTCTCCACTGCACACGCTTCTTCTTTTCGTCTCTTTACAGTCGACTTGCTGGTGTGGCTCGGCACCTCGCCACTTTCTCTCACTTTTGTCAACACTTCGCTGAGTGCATTTTGGCTCATGAAAGACCGTCTGCCAAGCGCAGATATATCCAACACCATGGTGGCTTGTATCCAGAGACTGATGCACCGTGTGAGGATGTACATTTCACATGAAAACCAATCTTAGTCATACCATGTATAGATACTTCACTTTGATTGAGTTCTCTCAACATGATCCAAAACATACTGCTTGAATCTAGGTGGCCTTGCTCATGGTGACGAGTGGAACATGCGTCTCAAGAGTCACGGGTCCGAAAAGGCAAGCTGCTGACAGAGTCGTTTGTTTGAGCTGCACTCCTTTCTCTGATTTGAACCTCATGCACCTTCACCTGTAGTATGAACACATAGACATGAACATGAAGAACAACTCCAGCATTCCTTGTGGTGATTCCTAAACAAACTTTCCAGCATGTTTGGGAGAAAGCATGAGAACATATGAGAACGCTGCAAAGAAGCACCAACTCATTTTGCGGTCTCCTTTATACAGCATATCCAGCGGCCACGGCATGCATATACACTGACTATGAAGAAGGCTCACCCGGAAAGCCATAGGCCTGGGCCTGCGATAAGATCCTGAACTTGCTACCGTCTGGCGCTTCATAGTGTTTGTCATTCTGGCCGGACGCACGGTGGCGAATTTCAAGCGTCCAACCTTTGGAACATTTCACTATGGTCTTGTCCTTCTTAATTGCAGCTTTCCCTGCAGCCTGTTTTGCTGAAGGCTTCGCCTTGGGCGTAGCCTTGGAGGCAGCTTTGGCTTTGGAGGCTGACACCGTATGCTTCGAAGCAGGTCTCTTCATCATCTTAGCATCTGCATCCCCCCTGCCATCACCTACACCAGGCAATTCTAACAAGACTGCATGCTCAGCAGGCTTTGCCATGGATCCTGCTGAAGGGCTCGGCTCTGGCTCTGGAGGTTTGACTGAAGGTGCCACTGCAGGAGGTTTCACTGAAGCTGCTGGAGGTGATGGGCTCTCGTTTTGCTCAATGACATTGCCATCTTGGAGCGCCAATGGAGCCGGAGCATCAGCAGCAGCAGCTGTAGGCACATCACACAGCGCCTTCTGCCGCTTTCCGGGCCTTAGGCCCATGCCAGCGAAGGCTTCAGCAGAGCCACTTGCATCTGGATTTCGGCCAGCGAATTGATTGAACATGCTCCACATGCCCATCATCATCATGTTCATGTCCACATTCTGCTGTGCGATGTGTCCAGCTGGAGGCACATGGAGGGTATGTGCCTTGGGGTTATCACTTTTCACCTCAGCCTTGCTTTTGCGCAAAGTCATGTTCTGCATCATGCATTCCTGTTCATCTACAGCTTTTGGCGGGCTGTCGGCATATGCAGAACCATACCATTCCAGGTCAGAAGGCTTTGGTGGAAAGGTCACCAAATGAGTTTGGATGATCGCTGGCTTCTTGTGCACTAAACGTTTCAGGTCTTTCAATACGTTCACCTGAGACTTCGCATCTCCCACATCAAGCCCGGCGACTTGCGCTGCCTGAAGCACCACTCGCCAACTGCTTTCATGGGGGAGGTGCAATCCGATTTTCACCATGCGAACAGCGATACCTCAGCAAATCTTGTTCAAGGTGATGCCAAAACACGGTCTGCATTACACGCATGGTCATCATGAGAACTGCCCTCAATTAAACGGACGCCAAAAGAAAGAACCTGGCATGAGACATGATCCAAAGCCCCCTCAGAAAAGCTATGAAAACCCAAATGCTGTCCAAAGGCATTCCAGCTTGGTGGAAAGTGTGGTCTCCTTGTCCCCCAAAGTCGCGCAGTCTTTCTCACTGAAGTAATGTGCGAAGGATGCCACGGTCTGAGTCTCCCTTCGCGCTTTGGTACGGGAGCCTGGACTGCTGTTCAACAGCTGCTCTCCGCACCAACTTCCTAGCGAAGCCTTCTGGGCATCTGACCATGGTCCTTTGGACACCAGCGCTGTGAAGGCTTTTGCCCCTTCAGCTGAACACTGCAAAGTCCTCCTCGAAATCTGACTTGCATGAGACTCTAGCATGGCCTGGATTTGACTCTTCTCACAAACAGCTTTCTGCGCTTCTATGAACTCATGCAGGCCCTCTACCTCTTTCAACAGGTTGTCCCAACCATGCGCCATGACGCGCAATGACCAACCACTGCTGAATCGATCTGAAACAGTGACCGTCGAACATACAAGCATTACAAGCTGCCTTCGCATGGACCATGACATGTGTTTGGAAGACCTGCGAAAGAACAGCTGTCTGAAAAGTCTTGTCTCTGCTACTACATTCAGGCACTCATGAACAAACAATTGAAAAAACATGTTCTGCTGACACCCCGGCGACGCATTCCCATGCCAAGGACAACTCTTGACGTTTTTTTCAACTGCTGCAAGGACAGTGAATGTAAGCATTTACCTATAAATAGCTCACACACCTCCAGTGTTGCTGTACAGAATGCTTATAATGAACAAATTGGACATCTCAGCTCACCTCATGGTTCAGGCTCTACAGGACCATCTGCATTCTCGAAAGGGTCTGAAACTCTGCGGTCCTTTTTGGGAGTTTTACTGCAATCACGTTTCCTCCTGCGTTTTCTCTTGGGAGACGCTTTTACGACGTCATCCGAAGCCTTGAGGGCAGCCACGCAGTATTTGCCTACACTCTCATTCAACTCAAGCCAAAGCTCACCCTTGGTCTGCCACAAAGCTTGACATGTTGTTGCCTGATGGCCTTCGACAGCTGGAAGGTTCAGTTCAACTTGGGATTGTCCAACTAACCAACGATCATCATCCTCTGCATCCCTGAACTTTTGGTTCTCGGCTATTACTTGTCCAGCGTGTTCCATGTTTCCACGCAAGATAGCGTGATATGCATCATTGCAGGCTTGTTTTCTAAGTTGCTGCATATCAGGCCACCACTGTTTGTTGCTGATGGTTCGAACAGCGCCGTGTTTCTTGTGGCGATTGATAGCTTTCCCAAGCACGACCTTTGCGAGGGTTCTGTCATGCTTTGCAAGTTTGAAGTATACTGTGCCCTGAGCAGTCTGCACATCTGGGTACCAAACAGTCCTACCAATGGTGACAGCAAACACTTGCGCAATCTTCACAGTTTGAACAGCTTCGGCATCTTCAGCTTGGGAGTGATCTGATCCATCAGAAGCCATGATGGACAGCTGGACAGGTTGATTGCTTGAATGTGTGAGTCACATGTAATAGAGTATGGTCTCTAATGATGAGCCACACTGATCACTATAGTGGCTATGATGAAGACCATGAATGCCTTTGGATCATCATGGACAATGAGGTTCATAATGCAAATGTCATATATGCGTGGGAGTTCAGTTGGCGTAAAGCTATTCAAGCGCACACACTGTGGGTTGCGAGCAAGCCCGCAAGACCCTGACCGCGAGCCAACGCCACGCGTGTCATGATGGTTCCATGGAGCTTGCACTCCACACCATGCGAGAAAGCTAGATGATAGCACGAGAGAAACGACATGGAAGAAAAAAGCAACAGTGCAACTCCTTTAGCGCTGAACTCTAAATACATCGAACAAAAGGTCATGACACCTGGCACACATGAGTCACAAATCCCATCTCATGTGCAAGACGACCGACAGGGGCGTGCCAATCAGCCTGCCTCTCGACATGACAATGTAGAGGTCCACCAAGCCGAAGATTCCTGCAGCAGACCGCGTTGGGAAAGTGTTCATGAATGAGTGAAGCTGGTCGGAGTAGTGAGAGGGAATGCAATCGTAATATCCCAGTGCTTCTGGTCGTGCATCATTGGGTAGAAGTTGGTTTCAAACATGATGCAAACCAATTCATATGATAAGTCATTCATATCCCAAACTTGGAAAACACAAAATGTCAATGAGGAATTTTGTGGGTCCACAAAATGGCACTATGACACGGTGTGGAAACACAAAATGGCCAAGGTGGACCTATGAACATTTTGTGTTTCCACAAAATGGCGCATTGACACTTTGTGGAAACACAAAAGGACCAAGTGGATTTTTATGGAACCACAATTCTGCCAATTTATTCGTTGACTCAATGAAAACAGGAGGGGGTAACTCTCGCCAATTTTTTCCCAAACCCTTTTGAATTTTAGCTGTCAATTTCTAATCAAACCACAATTTCCCAAACATTAAAACTATGGAAAATGAGGAACAGTCAGCATTTTTTCAACAGGTCAAATCTAACAAAAGTTGCCAATGTCGTTGCAATCACGTTTGCATTTCCCGTACTTAGAGAAATTCCCCAAACAATCGATCACTCAAACCCATGTTCCTCACATCGGACCCACCCAGCGCCACCCTCCCTCTTTTTTGCGGTGCTCACGCTGCCGCAGCAGCGGAGGATGTCAGTTGGCATCATTGTGGCACACGGCCTACCTCTTGAAGTGTAGAATCCATTCCTAGCAGGGTGGTGAATGACACTACACTGAGGTTACCATTCCAGCCGCAACATCTCCGATCAAAAATATTTCTCTCACTGTATTGTCTCTTTTAAATGTGAATCCAATAATTAAAAACATATTGTTGCAGTTGCCTTGGGATCGCCCTTGTTCATATAGTTGGGTATACATACCATTCAACACTGGAGATGCTGCCTCATGCACGCGCCAGCCAACAGCCTTCACAGCAATCTCTGGATAGAACCAATATGTTTCTATTAATTGTGGTCGTTGTTTCTTTAAATGGGCGTGCAGGGACAAGGCTTTGGCAGGGTCAGCCCGGCCAGCGGCTTGTGCTGATGCGAGCAGCTCAGATCCACGGGGCTGTGACGCAGGCAATGCGATTACTGCATTGCTGCCTTGAAAGTTTTGAGCAAGTCATGACTTGAATGTGACCATGGATGATTTCATGCTTTGCGCAAAGCACCACAGCACCCGAAAACTGTTTGCCTTTCGGCGAGTATCTGGGGGCATATCACGATTCGACTAAAACATTGCAGTCACAGATGTCTACATCAACATCAACCGTTGATTGTCTGTTGACTATCTCTACTTTCCAAGGTGATTACCCCACTTTCATATTTCCGCGGTAATGGCCACGGTGTTGGCCCATCATGGAGACCTTCACTTTGACACTTAGGTTAGAACCAATGATCCACATGCTAGTCTTTCTGCAGTGTCATTCAGCTCAGTGTTGGACAATTATTACTATGATGACATCTATCAACCCATATTCTTCTCCATGATTCGGGCAAGGCTGCCGCACACCTCTATCATCTGGTCCATGCGGTCCTCCTTCGCTTTGTTCGCCCGTGCTTTCTGTACTTTCCACCCTGCACGGACCCTCTCACGGCTGCTTCGGGGCCTTAGCATTGACAACAAAGGACAAACTGGGTAGTGATTTCATGCAGACTCTGTTGTAATTTGAATCAGCACTTTTGAACTACATGTTTTAACAACATGTTTCCTGTAGCGTTAGTTGGACATGGCATGAAATGTTGTTTTCAAAAGACTCGCTGCATCTATGCATTGGCATGTGAAGCTGTGGCAAGATATGCGAAATGAAGACACCAAATCAATACTTAGAACATGTTGCACGACCCGTGATCAAAGTCCATGCATCATACCCCACTATATAGTTCACTCAAAGGCACTGCTTTCCACTGTCCGACGGCTGTGGTGGTGGTGGCGGCGGCGGCATTGGAGGCGCAGCCATACCCGGAGGCGGGTACTTTGGTGGCGGCAGGGGCGCCAACGGCGGTGGAGGAAGTGGGCGCATAGGACCAGCCGACCATCCTTTGCCACCAGCCGACCATCCTTTGCCACGCGCTTTGCCACGCGCTTTGCCACGCCCTTTGGGATGGCCTTTTCCAGCATGCCCTGCAGCTCCGCGATTCCAGTTCTTCCAAGTAGGTGGGCACTTGGGAATCAGCTTCAGATGGGTCGCCTTTGGTGGCGGGTTGATCCCCATCTTCATCATGGTATCCTCCTCCTCCTCCTCCTTCTCCTCCTCCTCCTCCTCCTGATCCTCCACCTCTTCCTCCACCTCTTCCTCACGTTCTTCCTCGAGGACCTCATCATGGCCCATCTCATCGCCAGGTGGAACCACATCATCCTCAACAGGCCAGACAAGGTCCTCATCCGGAGTCACGTCTCCTGGACGGAAGGCCGTAGCCAAGGAAACAGGTATATGAACATGTTCGAGCTGAACCTACGTAACTAACAATAACATAACATCAGTGCTGCATGATGTTGAATGAGACATGTGTGGCATGATTTGCAACTACCTGTCAGTCCCATGGTGACTCAGGCAGAGAAGACCGGCCGGCCCCTATAGCACTCAAAAGTCATCCCCAAGTCATCTCAATTGGCGTGCATGTTTGAACATATGTACATACGTATACATATTTCACTCAGTCCTTCTGTCTCAGCAGTCTCTCTCTTGCTCTTGGCAATCATCTTGGGGCTCTTGACCACGACGCGAAGCGGCTTGTATGGACACGGCCGCGCCTTCGATTTGATGTTATGGCGACGTTCCCACATGCGGCGGAGCTGCAATGCGTTTGCGTTGTCCCAACGCACATGCATGAGTAATGTTGCTTATGCGTGGATGAGCTACTCCGTGATATCATTGTTCCACATGCAAACTGCTGTGCAATCCCCTCATGCTTTCACATGCGCCTTGTCGGCGCGAGCCTCATTCCGTCTTGAACCAGGAGGGATGCTGGGTTGAAAGATGCATCTGAGACATGAGGGACACCAAGGGGTTCTATACCGATCTGATTCTGATGATGTAAAAGAATTAGACCCATGGACCCTTACAAAAACAAAATGCAGACTTTGAATGAGTTTTGGGAGAGCAACAAATTGATGAACCATTGCCATGGTAGACACAATGTGGGGAGAAGTGGACCAAGATATACCTATCTCCAAGCTTGAACTGTCCTATCTTGGCTTGGGCCATGAAGTCTGACCCCCACAAGTCCTTTTTGGCCGGCCACAGTAGTAGGTTTCAAGTAGTTCGTGTAAGACTTGTGGGGGTCAGATTTCCTGACCCAAGCCAAAGTGGAAAATTGGCACTCCAAGCCATGTGATCAATCCCAAGACCAACGAAACGGCCCACCATCGGAAGGCAGCCAAACGGTCCTCCAAACAGGTGCTCGAGTTGCAAGCTGCATACACCTGACAAAGTGATGTTTCGGATATGTTTGGGTTTGCTGTGGGGGTTGGCAACCACATGCAAAAGCATGTAAAATATCAAGGCATGCAAATATACTGAAGGTAATGTGGACAAGGTTTTCAAAACTGGACGATGTTTCGACTTTCTACCATGCCATGTGAGAAAATGAGAAACCCGTCCATGAACACACTGCACAAAGTGAACACTCCAGCATCGACTGTTGACACGAAACAGAAACCACCAATTGGTTTTTAGGATGCAAGAATCACACATGAATACGCCTCATAGGCACGGATGGGTGTTGATAACATTCGGTGAAGAAGTTGCTTTGCTGATCATTAACAGACTTCAACACTGCCTCGCGATTTCACCTCCCACATCCCACCTGCATTGGAAAGGCCACCTGGCGGTGGAGCCGGCAGACAGAAACAACCCGCTGTGCATGTTCACTAAAGCGCTCGAAATAAACAGAACTCTTGAAACCCAACTCCAGCCCAGACATCCTTCACGACACAAACGTGTTTAACTCCATCCTGCGGCCAAGGCTACAGAAAACTTCAGCTGCTATTCAACTCAGTCGCGTCGACTTCAGAACCTGATTGCCTCTATACCTTTTGCTGATGCTACACTTTTGCTTCAAATCACCCTCTACCTACAAGTCATCTCACACATCCTCAGAACTGTTTGCGCCATCTCCACGGCCACGTCAGTCATCCGAAAGGTTCACAAAGTTATGCAAAGACATGCCATGAGACTGGAGATACACAACAGTAAAAGAGTGCATGGCTGACATCAAGGCGTTCAACCCATACGGCATCTTGGTCTTAAATCGGTTGCAACGCATGATGATCTTGCCACGCTTCTTCTGCGAGGGGATATTGGCTGTTGAGGATGAGTCAAAAATGATGTCCTGCGTGCATGGTCTGCAAGAATCACAACTATATATTCTTTAGATCGTCAACAAGTTAACAAGTGTTCTAATATGGACTGATGGTCATGACAAACAATAAAGTACATGTACTGTGAAATGACCATGCGTTGTTGGCATATACTCCTGTGGTCGGTAGAGACAGTTCGTCTTGGACTGAAGTAAGTTGATGGTGTTCTGCTGGCTGCAGTTGCAGTGGTCACACACCTCACGCCTCATGGACTCGGTGACACACTTGGCATTGAATTTGCCCTTCCCAACCTCCCACTTGAAGCCTGCAATGGGCTCGCCCGACACTCTGCTCATCAAAAAGTACACTGACCTGTCGGATGACTCGTAATGGTACGCAAGCTGGATCACCTGAGACCAGACGCAATGAAAGGGTGCGTTTTGCTAGCTCCTGAAATTTCCATGTCACGCGCTCGAAGGGTAGCAACAAGCCCATGGGATAAAGTTCAAAGAAAAAATTGACTGATCATGGAAAGTTACCAAACTGGCTTTCACACTTCTCTTGATGTAAAGATCGTGCTGACCTCTTCGGGTGTAGCGGTAGAGGCTGCCATCAGGGGATTCCTCGCAAAACTTATAGGGCCAGCTCGTACCCATCACAGAAACGTAGATTACCATGTGGTCTCGCTCCTGAAGGCGTTTGATCTGAAACTTCCCCAATGACCTCCACCTCGCATTTCCCAAGCTAGGGAGCTGCACCGTTGCCAGTGTGAACCCCAAATCCATCTCAATGAAATCATAGACGTGTGACGCACCATCTGCTTCCATGATGGAATGACAAAGGCAGCAACAAAAGACACCCAACACAAAGACGCAACAGAGCTGCAAATCTGACGGTATATGTACAAACCTACATCAAACTGAGACATGCAGAATGGCATCAAGCTAACATCTTAAGTATCCATACTCACAAGGTGGTTGCGGTGACATGTTTGACTGCTCAAAAGCATCGTTTTCAACAAGGTGCGTCTTAAGTTCCGTCGTGTGCATCACGAACATGTTGTTCTTGAAGCTCAGCTACGGTGCTTGTTCATCTCAAGTTGGCACGGGTGCGCATTGCAGTTATAAACGCCGCCAGCTTTTTCGACAGGTTTGCGTGCTGTTGTCAAACAAAATTTCTGGACACTCAGAATGTCCAACATGACATATAGACGGCGCAATGTCCAGTCATGGCATGTCTATCACGCGGTGGGGGCTTTGGTCCTTTGCCTCTTTGCAGGTTTCCCCGATGACAGCTGCAATGGTTCTGGCGCTTTCTTCGCAGTCTCAGGACGGAACAACACCAAGTCATCCCCAGCATCTATTTTGTCTGGGTTTCTGGCGACCAGAATCTTACCTGACTTGACCAAAACCATGTTCGAATCTTCTTGCTCACTCGTGACCTTCATCATCCAAAATGGGACGCAAACTCCGGGAGGCTGCAAGCAAACATTGAAGTCTTGCCTAGGCTTTCACTATGGATCAGCTGACTTCCCATGCGTGGTAAACATTGATGAAGCCCAACTAAGGCAACCAAATTCAAAAATGTAAAAAGTATCCCTGAACATGTTGCAAGCTACCCATCATGCTTCTCAACATCCAGCTTGATAGCCACTGCTGAAGGTTCCTTGGCCTCTGCCTGTTTCACAACATCAACCTTGCTCGTCAAAGGAATCAACACGCACTTGTTCTTGGCGATGTCTGCTGTGGCAGTGACACCCTTCGGTTTTTGAAACATGTCCAAGTCTTTGTTTTGGTCTGGGCGCTGTTTCAGCGCATCGTGCAACCTTTGAATGACACTTGCCTTGATGACAGCTGTGTTCATGAGATCTTTCCATGCATCGGGATCCTTCACTGGTTCTTTGACCTTTTCCTTGGCCTGTTCTTTCCATTCACCTCCGATGAGTTTGTCCACATCAAGATTGTAATCCCGTCCATCGCTCATGTCAGTCACCACTACCACCTTTTGACCAATGTCTTTGATCTGGGCTTGCATGCTGTCTGATTTTCTCACGATCATCATGCCTTTCTCAAACCCTGCATCAAGAACGATGGCATTGGAAGTGAGCTGACCATCCGCAGTGTAGTCCCGGATCCTGCGTGTTCCAAAATATGCGCGAAGACTAAGATATCTATCAAGCATGCATGGGTCACCACAGGATGAGAACAAAGGGTGCTTAAGGATACAACCACTTTCAGCATAAAGATGGTGACCAGCCATGGTTGAAACCATGTTCAATACCTGCAAGCTGCAAAACATGATGCGCATGAAACATGTTGATACATCTACATGGGTCCTGGAATTCTTTTCCTTCGATGTTGTGGACGACGCAGCAGTTGCAGTTGTCATAGCTGCTGAGTCCCACGGAGACGGCGCGTGATCTTCTGAGAACTGACGCCAGAACTGCACACAGTTGAACGCTGCTTCTGTCATGTCCTTGCAAGTCTGAAATGGCTGCACTACGTCCTTAGGCTTTTTGTTCAAGACGACAATCACTGACTCCACCTCAAAGATGCCCAAACCAATCAACCGTTGGTGCGGTGACAGGTCAGACAAGCTGTCACCAAAACGCTTCAGCTCTTTGAGCAAGATCTCAAATTGGGTGGCCTTGGCAAAGGTCTCCTTGTGACTCAGGCTTTTTCTCACATCACTGTGGGTGATCAACCCTTCTTGGTGGCAATACATTGCCTTCAGCAAGGCGTGCCTCCAAAGCACGCATTGCTCCATGCCCTTCTGGCGAACATCCAAAGCCAGGTTGTCCCAAGCTTGAACGCCTAAGGCCCTCCCGCTGTGTCCATGAGCTTTCACGAATGATTCTGTGGTGGTAAAGAGGTGGGCGCTCTTCCCACCACCGCATCTGATCATGAAGCTGTATAGGTGAGGAATGCATTCTGGACGCTGAGGTTTGCTCCGCAGGATGGCAGGTGCAATGTCTTGATACGGCACTGGATCATCACCAACCTTGTTCTTGAAGAAAGCCAACATTTTGCAACAAATCTGCAATTCTGTTTCTGGTCTTGCTACTTGGGTTGATGCGTTTGCGGCCGATTGGGCCAATGAACAAAAGTCAGCAAATGCATCCACAACGGAGCTGGCCACAATCTCATACACGCACCCATCTTTGACAGCTCGATAGTATGAGAGATCGTTTCTCTCGAGCACTTCCATAGAAAGCATGCCGTTGACTGTGATCTGGGGACATGAATGCGGTATGCCATAAAACCAGCTACGAAGAACTTGGTTTGAATGTGATCCAGCAATCGTAGCGTATCGGATTGTGTCTGTCAACGGTGGCAACCTGATATCTTTGCAGAAAAGGAAAATCATGACTGAAATGAATGGTGGTCTAATTCAAACATCAAACTACATTGTAATATCACCTTGCTGTCAAGAGAAATGATGTGAAACTGAAACAAAACAATAACTTGGAAACTTGCAACATCCAACATGTTCATCCAATGTCTGTGAAGCAACAATCCATTGGACTGGTTGACAAGCTCTTCATTGTACTTTCGGGTGGCATCACCCTTTGGGCCATGCAACTCCACAGCCATCCTGTGACACTCTCCCTCCACATACCCAAACTCAAAGAAGTCCTGCGCCAACTGGTGGACGTGGTCCGGCGCTATGCCTAACCCGTCACGATTGTTCTCATGACATCCCACATGCCTGCAGTGAAGAATTGCCTTCCACATGAGGCCTTCACTGCGCAACATGGCATAGATCTGGTTCATGCACTTGAGAAGCCCACCACCACTCTTTGCTTCAGTGAGCAAAGTGGAGATTTTCTGCTTCAAGTTGCTGTCAAGTGCGGAAGACATCCCAGAAAGAAGGTCCAAAGAGCTAAAGCTGGACAACTGTCAGTCACGCAAAAAAGGGGTTAATCAAACACACTTGTTGCGTGTTAATTCACTCATGTTTCTGATGATGAATCATGACAGTGTTTGAGAGACGTGATGCATGATGCCTGATGCATCGCAAAACATGTGCACAAACAAATGTTTGAGATGCAACTGCGAGGAACCCCGCAAGTTGTAGAGTGCGAGCAATGCCACGCACCCAGCGATGGACTTTCAAGTGACGTGTGTACATGGTCCATCCCATCCAAGACTGCCACGAAACACGAACGGAAAGAACTGGTTGCACGAGCTAGCCAAAAGAAATACGCATGTTTCATGATCCAAGTTTTCGACAGAACGCAGCATCATACTTGATGTGAAACCATTCAATATTCCATCAGACCCAAGGTTGCGAAGAAAGCATCAACTGAACGAATGCGTTGAACGAAACAGCTGAAAGAAGTATGTTTGATAAGACAACGCTGAATTCACGCAAGGACTTCGAAGATGCCTCCCCCCCTCTCCCAATTCAGCGACACCTGCGTTTGGCAGTTCGAAGGGTGCGTCGCAGAACACCTGGGCAAACGAGGGAAGGCCGTTGAGCGCAAAACACGAAGACATGGTGGCTCTCAAATAGGTATCATATATATATATAGAGAGAGATTATCGTGTTCATATAGTTCGTGATAGAAATACAATGTATCTCGCCATCCCTATATATAGTAGTGAGGCCAGGAGCCCCGAGTATAGCGTCCTTGCTCCTATAGTAGCAAGGCCATGCCGGAACCCTATAGTAGCGGCCTTGCTCCATCCCCAAAAACAGGTTTGACAATGAAAAAGACTACATGCCATCATGGTTCCACTTTTGGAATGATCATCAAAAAACATTGCCATGCATCACGATCATCATTTCTAAGAAAACATGCATGGACCATGGAGCATCAGAAGAACAAGAAAAATACAATCCCATTCCCTTTCATCATCAACGCCACCATCCCCGACGCAGCATTTGAACTGGGCCTCCCTGCGCGTCGAAACAAAAAGCGGAACCTATATATGTATTGTCGCTATAGAGCCAAGCGCGGGTGGGGACATGACACGCTGCCAACACAAAACACGGGAAAAACGTGAAATGAACATGTTGGTTTTCTTCTCAAGAACTCCTTTGTTGGTCAAATATAGTCAAATAATTGCTTCCAACAGCGCAAGGTCTCCCACACGTCCAAACACTCTGTTGTCTAGAAACTGCCCCTGGTAATTGTGCCCATGTGTGACTGGACCCCCCAACGCAGCTTGATATTTCAATTTGCTGGATATACCACTACATTGGGATGATTTTTGATCATTGTATAGTGACTGGGATGGTACATACGTTGCGCAACGTGTTTTTCTTCGAGTGATTCCCACCATGCAAAAACAGGGGTCGTCAAAGGGCGGAACGCCTAAAATAGAAGCGCTAAGAAGATATAGCTGCAGGCCAATGGCTGATTCATTAATAACCTCATCTGTAAGAATCTCATGGGTTGAGCCAAAGCAACCTCTATAACCAAATTTTGAGACATGGCCCGCTATATGGCCGTTGCCGTTCAGTCGCATTGAATTGGCAAAGCGACCCATGTGCCCACGAACCAATGTACCAAAAATGTTGGGCCAATTTGTATATACCTGCAGCCATTCTTTTCCCAAACCTAAGCGCCATAAGTGGTCTAAGTGCCATGCGCGACTAAGTGCCGTAAGTGGACATGTTCCACTTAGCGCTATGTGGGCTAAGCCACTTAGCAAACTTCCGGCCATGTGGCTCAAGTCACATGATCCACATAGCTAAGTCCAAACATATGTATGCTATGTTACTGTTCCCTTAAACTAAGTGCATACGCAACTTGCTAAGTACATAGCCAAAAATCTATGTACTTATTAATTTCAATCTAAGTTTGTTAAATACTTAGCATACAAAAGTCATTTACTAACCATACATAGACAAGATGCAACCAGCATAAATCAAAGTTGCCAAACATACTAAGTTGTTGAGCAACTGTATTAAGCATGCTATCTACATAGTAAGCGAGCTGATCCTCCAAGTAGGGCGAGAGGAAAAAGCGGCCAATGCAGCCAGCACCAGGTTTGGCCTCGCCATGCTGCTCGGGAGCTGTCCCCAAAGCCAAAGAAGTGGTTGTCGCAACCACGGGGTTGGTGTGGGAACAAAAAGCACACATGCATTCGTCGCTGAGAGCACACTATTTTTTTTCCACGAGTACGGACGCGTGTGGGCATGGTGCCCAGGTCATCATTGAAGGAAGGGAAATACAATCAGATGGTGGAGAAAAGGACAAAGACAACCCAAAAACAAACCAAACAAAACCAGCCGCAGCCCACAGGCCGAGACTCCACCACCAAGTAGTATTTCCTCTGTACTGGGGTGAAACAAGTGAGACGAAGACTGCTGCCTGTCTATGGGCCTGAATTCACGAAAGAAGAGCATGGCAGCGAGGGTTTGTGCTCTAGCAAAATCTCAAAGAAGTCGTCAAATGGACTTCACATCACTATTGCCAGTGACCAGCGGCCACTGTACAGGGTGGCAAAAACATGGTCACAATGCAAGTTCCGGGCATTGGTATGCTCTAACGCAGGTCTGATCCTTGCCTAAGTGGATCATGGTTCCTATGCAGATCATGCCGTGGAAAAGTCCTTTCGTCCAGCCATGCAACTGTTGCACATACAAGTCAAGAGGCATAGTAGTTGGTGTTCAGGCAGTGGCGGCCACAGCAAACAACGAAAGCCTGCAGGTAAGGGTGCAAAAGGCTCACCCCCCCAAAGGGAGGTCATCTCAGCACCCTTCGGCTGCGCCCTAACCTTGAGAACTGCTGCGTCATTGCAAAAGCATTGTCCAGTTGCGTGCAAGGCCCGTGTGAAACAGGTGAGACCGTGGACCTATCCTAGCATGGTATATGTCTTTGTACAAAATTGGTAATGTCGGACGTCAACAGAGGAACTAAGGTTCCCCCTGGGCATCCTCCATTGCCACTCTCTACCACCCGCCTGTTGGGAACGAGGAGCTAAGGCTCTCATTCCTGTTGGCTCACTGTATCGTGAATGTCGAAAACAAAAGGTTGGCGACTCTACTCAATGTTTGCACATTTCACTTGACGTAGCTTCCTGGTGGGTGCTTATGTACCGTTCCCGCCGCGAAAGCATTGCTGGCCTTTGGTGCAGGTCTAGAAAGTCTTCTCTCCACCAATCATTGGTATCGGCCGGCAAAAATCGGAGCCATTTAGGCTGATCGTGTTGCTCACATTTGTCAAGAGCATTGAGCCGTGCCCACCCTCGTTGAGGATCGACACTCCTCGAATGCTTTAGTGCCGAAATGCTTGCAACCGGGGGCAACCACCCTCGTAGAATTTGGCACCAGCTAAAGGCGCCATGCAATGGGCTGACGACTGTGTTTGGCAAGTGACGATTTGCAACTGTCGACAGCTCCTCCACGCAGCCTCTCCGACAATCTTGACACTGCTCTCAACAAGTGCGTGACGGATTTTTGTGCAAAAGGAAAAGGCTGGTGGGGAAATTTTGTCATTTCCACCTCACGGCAACCGGATTGCCTTGACTTCCTTAGGACATGGAGGCTTGGAGGAAAACTGTTTCGGTTTGACAGCCACGATTTTTAATCACCCTCCTGTTTCACGGAAGGCAACCATAGTCAGTTATGTAAGGGTGGAAAGTACTTTGATGTGACTTCTGGCCCACTCTGGACTCGAGCTAGGCGCGCGCCCAGACTCTTAACCGCGATAGCTGTGGTCAGAGGGACTTGTCTTCATCCCAGACCAGGGGTATATCCCATGTCCGGGATCATATGCAGCCAGGGTGGCCATCTCATATCCGGACAAATGGCAAAAGCATTTTCTTCGGTAAATTCCTCGCCATTTGCGTCTTCCCGGAACTAAAATCTGCTCCATTAGTCTTTGAACAAAGCTGCGACGGAGACGGAAAGGGTGATTCTTTCCCTTGCCTGCACACGAAGAAGGCCACTTGAATGGCCTTCATGGGCAACAGCTAAAGTCCAGACACAACACAATGCATCGTCGAGAATTCAGGCCCATCTAGTTGGTACGACACTCTCCAAAGTTTCATACGTCTCACCTTTTTTTCCACGAATACGGACGATATGTGGGCGGTGTGCCCAGACTCTGCATATTGGTAGGGGGAGCAACCCGAAAAGACGAACAACAAACACCACCCAAAACCAAAAAAACCACCCCAAAAAACAACAGCACCAAAAAGACCCCAACAACCAATGTCGGCAGAGTTCGTCTGTAAGGTGAGACGTGTGAAACTTAAGAGAGT